TGTTGGGAAGGAAGGAGTTATAATAGAAGGTAAAATTTACAAGCCTTTTTCTGTGAAGTTAGGCTATAGACAGATAATATTTCTAATAGTAAAAAGAAAGACTTGCTTATGCAAGATTGAAATAAATCCCATCGAATTGGATATTGTTGCTGCAAATTTATGGGAGGTCTAAAAAAGTTTTTTGCTAATGTAGAATTGGACTTTTGAATTTGTCGCAAAATTTATCCAAAATTTTATTTTGTGCAATTTACAATCCCAAACCATTGAAATAGTTGCACCAAAAGATTGTTAATGGACCAGAACAGTAGACTTTGAAATATGATTATAATAATTAAATCAAGAATAAAAACTACCCACCCATCTCCTTCTTTCACACCCCTATCCAACCCCTTACCGCAAAACAGAAACCATCGCCACCCACTCGACGTCGGCACCACCGTCACCTCTATGGAGGCAACCTCTTCCAAGATTCCAAGTAAAAAATGTTAGAATATCGAATTTCTCCCCATTCCAACCATCCCGTTCTGCTTTCAACACTTCACTCAATCTCTCTTTTTCTCCCACCTACAGATCAACCACACACACACATATTTACAGCATAGGCATCCCATTTTCATCTTCATTTTCATGTCATTGTGTTATGGTTGGAGATCAATTTCTGTAAAACTCAACCAATAACAAACATCTATAAACAGTATAGATCAAATATGGAGTTCCTTCAGTCGAATGAGCTGAAATTATAACCAAATAAAGAGAAAACAGAATGGGGAAGGGGAAAACGGGAAAATTAGAAGAAAAAACAGATAAAGAAATAACAGAGAAAGCAAAAGCAGAAGAAGGCCGGAGAAGAAGAAGAAAGAAGACTAGAGAAGAAACAGCAAGAAGGAGACGGGGAGGAAGAGGGGAGAACACGACTGCAAGCCAACAGTTCAATTCATCAATTCACTTTCTAATTCATCGTCCAACTTCAACCTATATGGACCAAAATTGGGCTTTGGGCTAACTCAATAACAAGATGTTAGCCATGACATTCATTCCCCTTAAATTAACCTCGTCCTCAAGGTTCAAAGTCGGGATGTCTTCTTTGTATGCTGTTAGCAGTTGTCTCATTCTCTTCACCACCCTTGGATTAAGCAAGTAGTGCGATGTGGCATATGCCTGGTTGACATTACCTGCATGACTCTTTTCATCCTTAAGCCAAACTGTTGGGCCGATTGGAATTGGGCTACTAAACTCTGCACCCCAAATATTGGTAACAAGAGAACCATCCTTTCCGTTAGACCATTTGTCATGTTGTCAGGGCCTCTCAACATGATAACTGTTATTTTCGGTCGGGAATGTATTGCCTGAATTATAATATTGATCTACACTTGGACAAGAATTTTCCATTATAGCTCCATAAGAAGTATTACATGAAATGCTCTCTTTACGTAGATTTGACCAAAAACTTACTCTAGAGGATAGAGCTTGAGGGGTTAACCATATGACAACATATGTAAAGAGGTTCACAGTGTCATCGGGAGAAAGTGTTGTGGACACCAACAGGGTCTTGGAAAATTGTAAGCAAGTAGCACTTTGAGTTCCCAGCACAAGATTCTAATATTTGGACAAGTGGCTGAACATCAATTGTAGCCTCTAGAGAGAATATTCTAGTTAAAGTGACGAATCATTCGCTGAGGCCAATGGTAAAAAGATGAGTGGTCAATAGCAAATCAGCATGATAGAAGAAGAGAATCTTGTCCAACTCCTGGCCTTCATTTTGGCCCCTTCTCAAATCAAACACACAGTTTCACCTATTTACCAGCATTGCTCCCAGATGATAATACCATCTCGAATCCCACTTTTCTTGCACCTGCACTGGTACAGGCTCTGGCTACTCCAAAATTAGCTTCATTTGTCATCCCAAACTCCATTTCAGCCTTAGAGGTTGAAATCTCCTCTATAGTTACTTTGTAAGCAACCTCAATTTCTGAATTATTTAATTCAACAGCAACCTTCTCCTTGAAGTCTATAGCATCAGTTGTTGATACTTTTGTATTGCTTTCCACCATTTGAAATTCCATTGGCTCAACCCTCGCTACTTCCTCATTTTCAAACATCTGAACACTTGCTTGCTTATACCATGATGAAACTAAAGAAATTCCATTGCATTTTCTCTTGGACGCTACTTAGAGCATCCTTATCTGTTTCATAATTACCATTCCTAATGATTCTGAAGCTATATTTTCCATCAAGTGTATATTCACCAACTGAGCTGGGTACAATTTCTTCAACTTCATCCCCATCTCCATCAGCAATTAACACGCTCCTTCTGGATCCTTTGATTTAATCATACCATGTTTCTATAGAAATCAGTGGAATGGGCACGCTGTCAATATTCTCACAGTATAGAACTTCAAAATTACTATACTTCTCAGCTCTGATTGCACTATAATTCTCCTGTCAAACAGGTCTTGAGCAAAATCCAAATATAGTCATCATCTTTAAACTTCTCAGCATCGCGTTCGAGTTCATTCATTGACGAATAGAAATGCTCATCATTTACAACAATATCACATGCTTTCACATTATCATTTGAACTAACTAAATCACTTCCAAAGACTATATCTTGTTTGGAATTCTCAAAGGTAACATAATTTTTAATTACCTTGCTAACACCAGATGCGGTTATAGCGAATGGAAAAGGTGAATGGCCTTTAAAACCTTTCCTCTGTACATTGCAAAGATCGTCGGATATTCCAGCAACACAATCAGGGATATGTGGTGATTGAGCCTCCATCATTTTAGTCAATATTGAAATCATTCGTTCATGAATCCTATTAAATTCTTCCCTAATGCTATCCACTCGTGAGACACCCAAGGATTGTAGCTGCTCTGATACCATTTGTTATGATTGGAGCTCAATTTCAACCAAAACTAAGTGAACTTAATCAAAATCAACGTCAACAATTTAATATACTAAACTGGGATTCAATAACCCAACTGTCGTTGTATTGATTGAGTTGAAATTACACCAAAACATCAAAATATAAACAGAAAAGAGAAACTGAAATGCAAAGGTGAAGAAGGGGAAGAAGAGAGATTCAGTGAAGATGAGAAGAAGAAGAACCAAGAAGAAAAAGAGGAAGTAGGAGAACTAGTGAAGAAGACAGCAAAAGGGAAGAAGAAGAAGAGAAAGAACAGAATGGTGAAAGAAGATCAGAGAAGAAGGAGAAAGAAAGACTAAAGAAGAAACAGCAAGAAGGAGCCGAGGAGGAAGAAAGGAGAACATGGTTACAAGCCAACAATTCAATTCATCAATTCCTTTTCTAATTCATCGTCCAACTTCAACCTATATGGAACAAAACTGGGCTTTGACTAGCCCACCTAATACAAGCCCACTAGATAATAACTGGCCCAATAAAATGAAGTTGGCCATGACAGGCTCTTCATCTTGGCAGTGGCAGGTGACGCAGTCNCTAGCCTACCTAATACAAGCCCACTAGATAATAAATGACCCAATAACAAGAAGTTAGCCATGACATATTGCGACAATTCATTTCAATTTCTTGGAGGCGTTGAGAAAAAAACCCCAAAATTATTTTCAAAGATTCATTCTCGTTCTTACGAGTTATGTAGCAAGAAGACATTGCAGTGGCTTACAAAAAAAAAGAGAGAAAAAAGCAGGGGTCAATCAATAGTTTTGGTGACATTTCTTTAATATTAGTTTTAGACGATGAATGCGGAGATGAACTGTGTACTGGAACTCAATTCTGATTGAGGGATACAAAAATGACATGGACATTTCCAGTTCGAGTGGAGTCTATGGCAAAACAAAATGATTCATGGCTTTCGAAAGTGGAGGACATTCAGAAATTTGTGGTGCTAATCATTCAAATAGTTTAGAGGACTGGTTTAGAACAAAAGGAACTGGGTTTTAAATGGGAGATGGAGAAATATGGTTACATTATTAGTATTGCAAATAGTGAAACTGAGATTTGGGAATAGTTAAAAGGCAAGAGAGATATGGACAAAGATGAGTACTGTCGACTTGAGCATCGTATTCTAACCATTTTTTTACGTATTACCCGCTTTGAGAGTCCTGATTTCGCGATAAAAATTTGCGAAGATTAAGATGAATTTAGACTCTTTCAAAGAAAACACTACGTAAAAGAACGACTGAGCACGAGACCCGAGTCTTTACAGGTACGATTGTAAATGTGGCGCGGCTAGCGATGGCAAGTAGGTTATGGGGATAGATTTTCCCATTTTCGGTTTGAGGAGTAGTAGTAGGCGGATGGGGTGGGAAGAAGATGAATTTTTATTTTATTTCTTTTTTTAATTATTTTATGCGAAAAAATAGAGAAGTTACCATTTTGCTTTTTTTAGATGTGGTCGAAATACATTTTCTTGATCAAACAATGGTCAAATCAATTCATTTGTCCCCAAATGAAATAAAATGAAAGGTTCGGGACCGTAAATGGCACAGACTAAAGATTTGAATAAAGCCTGCGACAAATTGAAAGATTTTAGACCGTTGCTGCAATTCCCTCTAAAAGTTTTACATAATAGAACTAAAGAAAGCAAGGGATGTACTTGTGTGCCATGCTTTATTCATCAATCAAGTAGTCCTTATATATAGAAGCATGAAAATAGGAGCTACATAACCAATCCTATAGACTAGGTAAATCAGAAACAAACTAACTAATGATGCTAAAGACTAGGTTAACATGTTACATGCAAATTACTTATTCAACAAATAGAACATATTAAATCAGATTCATACAAGTTTCATCACTATCACAATTCACAAAAATTCAGTTCAGCCCAAGTATAAATCATTAAATAGTTATATGTTATTCTACACTCATTTCATACCTCCAAAAGACTCCACTGCTGATCTAAAGTAACAAATAATTAATCTAAAAATGCTAATATATATGCAGTATTATCTTCTCCTTTTCTAATATTTTCCAGTTCCAGAAGAGGGAAACCTGAAAACCCCGCTTAGAAACCTCCAATTACACGAGGAACGTGCAAATCCCCCAAAAAATAATCAGTGATGATATGATCTTTCCACTATTTGACCTGAAACCCAGCGACTTACCATCTGTAACCCCGACAAGAAACCTGCAATCACCGACTGAAGGATCGTGGGAAGTAACCATCCCAAGCCCATCAAATTCACAAGTCCGAGGATTCTGTTTTTGTAACTGATAGTAGCTGTTGAATGCATAAGAAATATTTCCCTTCTCCCCAATACCATTGCAAGATCCTCCATAGTTGAGTGTTGTGCAATCAGCAAAACTACAAGCAAGTCTGAAGTGATTAGCGACACCAGCAAGGTCCCTGGTCGGATTTGCCACACACCATCTAGAAGGAAGGTAATGAACATTTTTTGCATTCTTTAATAATCCACTGCCAAGGTTTAGCGAGTATTTTGCCTGCCCGTCAAAAAAGAATATGCCCCAGTGCCTCTCAAAGTTCCCTGGAAGTACGCTTTTAGCTTCTTCGTCCAGGAGACCGAAAAGATAAATGTCCATAGGCGGCACACCAGGCCTGAGAGGGGTTCCTGTTTTGCTAAGAACACGATTCACGAGACCTTGATTGAACAACTTTGCAGCAGAAAGATTTGCACTGAGAGCCCCATCTGTAGGCCACCCCACCTCCCCGATAACGATGGGCATATGACCATACCCAATTTTGCTGAGGGCTGCAAGTAAAGTATCGAAATTTCCATCAAACGCATTGTAGTAAATGTTTGGTCCATCCACCACAGGGTGTGTTGTACCCTCAAAGAATGCATAATCTTGAGGGAAGTCGGAGTTCCCATACAGGCTGAAAAAGGGATAAATATTGATGATAAATGGTGAACCATTAGAACTCAGGAAGGAAACGATCTGTGTCATGATTTGGGCGAGTTCGGGTCGAAAAGCTCCTTGTGATGGCAGAGAAGACACGTAAGCATCAGCATTGCAAGGTACAACCAGCTTTACCCTGCGTGCAAGATTTGCTTTGGCTAAAGACCGTTGCAAATTAGTCAGAGCAGGGAAAACATACGATTGATATTGGCCAGAATAGCTAGTAAGAAAGGGCTCGTTTCCTACTGCAACATGCCTGTGATCACAACACGAAAATCAGCACCAAATATACGACTTTCCAACTAAACTAAGACATTTAATGAACGAAAAGCGTCCACTGACCCAAGTCCCACAAATTTTGAAAGGTTGCAGATGCCAAGAATAAAGTTTATTCATATGTTAAGAGACTTTAATTTTTTTCAATCAAAGATTTGAATGAACAATAAAACGAACAAGGGCTACTACCACATTATAAGCATGATATTAACTCTTATATGTAATTTAATCTGGTTGGTTTAGTTAAGTCAATTTCCTGCTCATGAATCTAAATGTCCTATAGATCCAAATTATAACAGATCGCTGTTCAATTCATAATGTTCAGACCATTCCTTAAGGTCAATATAATGTAAATCTTC